TATGCTCTTTTATCTGTGATTTTGATACCATGTGCAAGGATAAAGTCTCACTTACCTTTACTGCCCCAAATAATGTCAAGTGAATCGGACTCCACCATCATTTAACTGTGTTGGCTGAATTTTTAGGACACGACACTTGAATTTATATATAAACTTGGGTTTCTTCCATATAACTGTCATAAACATGTTTTTATTGTGTGAAGATAATTCAATTGAAAGACACTTATTTCAGAGTTCAGTTAGTGAGCCTCACTTCTGGAATATAAACATTTATAGTAATCATTCATTTATCCTAATCTAGAGACCGTATATTCTTTGATATTCTAGTTTCAAGCCAATGATTTCCTCTTCATTTGTTTATTTTGCTTAAAAAAAAGTAGTTTCTTGTATGCTTTTCTGACAAAACTGAGATTAAGTATACGTTGTGTTAAATGTGCTTGGCTGGTCTCTCTACTTTGGAGCTGAACTAATGATAGCAGTAACCTTTCACTCTAGGAAGAATGGCTTTCCTCCTTTGAATTCTTTTCTTCTGGGCACAGTTCTCCTGATTTTTTTCTCATATGGTCTGTTCTGTAACTATTTCTGTATCTATGCAATATCTTGAAACAATACCTGTTGCTCTGGGACTTATCACAACTGAGCACACCCTAAATATAAGCTGTGAGAAAGAATCAGTGAATGAAACAAAACAAAACTTCCCACTATCTTAGACAAAGTACATTCTTGGAAACAAACTTTCCTTTGAAGGTGCTATATGAAGTCACTAACCATGGTTGTAGCACCAACCAGAAGTGTTGGCTGTCTAAAACATCCAGGACTGAAATGCAGAGAAGACCTTGACCTTCGTGGAAGCATTCTGGTTCTGCTAATCTACTAATTTTTTTTTTTTTAAATAGAGTTACAAAACTATTGTGGGAACCTTTGTGGCTCTTGTTTTTTATTTATGTCATTAACCCTCTGTAGGTTTCTCCAAATGTTATTTCAAAGATAGTTGGGGTTGCTAGTTCCTATTTTCTTTTACTACTACTACTATTATTATTATATCATTATTATTACTTGGTGTGAGTGCCTGGGGGTCTGGGGGGCATATCGTATGTATTGTCTAAGTGTGTGATGTGTGCATGTGGGTGAAAATATGTGTGCACATGTGCATGCATTTAGAGGCCCAGGATGGATGTCAGAGGTCTTTCCTTTATCCTCTTCACCATATTGTCTACTTATTTTATTTAAACACTATAAATTATTTTCTATAGATGGATGTTCTGTCTGCTTAGATATCTCTGCGTCACTTGCATCCCTGACGCATGCAGAGGTCAGAAAATGGTGTCAGATCCCTTAGAACTGGAGTTATAGATGTTTGTGAGCTGCCACGTGGGCGCTGGAAATTGAATTCAGCCCCTCGGGAGAAAGCCAGCCAGTTTTGTTAACCTCTGAGCCATCTCTTCAGCCCCTCCACACTGTTTCCTTGAGACAAGGTCTCTCAGTGAACCTGAAGCTAACTGATCTGGATCGGCTGGCCAGCCAACGAGCTTTAGGAATCGGCCTGTCTCTGTGCCCCACTCCTACCCCCAGGCTGGCTTTACAGGCATGCACTACTCCGCATGTTTTTAAAATGTTATGTGTGTGGGTGTTTTCCTGCATGTTGGTATAGTCTCACATGCGTGATTGGAGCCAGAGCAGGCCAGGAAACAGCACTGGATCCCCTAGAATTAGAGTTACAGATGGTTGTGAGCTGCCATGTGGTTTCTGGAAACTGAATGCAGGTTCTCTGAAAAGCAACAAGTGCTTTCACTGAGTCTTTCCAACTCAAAGATCCAGCTTTTTGTGGTTTTAAACTACGGCCTATTCTTCCTTTATACTCCTCAGCTGTTTTGTTTTGGTTTGTTTGTTTGTTTGTTTGTTTGTCGGAGATCCAGGTCAGGCCAGTCCAGGTACGTTCAGGCCTGTGATCATGTAAGAGAACCATCCTTTAAATCACACTCCAAGCCAACGTGCTCAGTACATCCCGGTGTAGACCAGATGGACTGCGAATGTCTCCCGTCTCGCCCTGACTATTGACTTCATGGAATTATGACAAAGAATAAGAACCCGGACACAGACACGGGGACCACAGAGGCCGTCCTGTTTATTGTGCAGACAGTGATCATCCACTAGAGAAGTATTGCCACAAGCAAGCCATCCAAGTACAAGCACAGACAGCGATTCTACGCGAGGAACAGAGAATAAAGTCAGAGGACGCGCAAAGGAAAGGGGAGAATGTCGGCTGCAGCTAATCGTCTTGATACGTTTCTCCTGCAAACATAACCTAATTTGCAGAAATGGTAGAGAAGTCAGATGTCCAGTCTTACTTAGCCGTGACCAACAACAGTAAAAAACAGTCTTATAAAATTTATCTCCCACAAAAATAAACTATATATATAAAAATTTTATGATGTTCTCACTGTTCCATTGGACACAAGCCTTTTTTTTTCTTTTTTTTTTTCAGTATGAAAAATGAGGTATACTGGGACTTAAGAGGTAGTTGTGTGTTTTGATTGTACAACATACAGGAAATAAAGAATAAACTTCATCAAAGGTTGGAACTCACTCAGTGTGCCAAGTCCGGCCAACATGAGAAACTGCTTCACTTTTTATGAGCCGGCCAATGAGGTTTCTAAAAGGCCCATCTGAAGATACGGAATGGGAATTTGATTTTTATGAGCTACTGTTTATTTGCTTATTTAATGCACAGTTAAGAGTCACATTGAGTCTTAATTTTCTCCATAGCTCCTTTGATGACTCACCAGCGGTGAGCGATCTGGTTGTGAGCGATCTGCCTGTTTCAGAGAGGTATGTGGCCTTTGAAATGACCTCCCTGAAATGGCTGAAGAGAGATAGTTGTTTGTTTCATTTGGCTTCAGTATTAGAAGGCATACTGACACAAGCTATGATGAGAAACTACCTCCTGGCCCAGTGGATTAACACCGTGGAAAAAGTCAGCACACTCATTAGAAGAGAAAGGCATAAACACTCTACACAAGAAGCGTTCAAAATAAATCTGCTCGAGACATTTTACAAAAATCACATTGTGTAAAATACATGAAAATATCTGTCAAGCATATTCTTATAGGCAACTAATCTTAAAAACCTATCTTTTTTTTTTTTTCCTTTCTGATTGCATTAGGCAAAAGCTGAGCTGGTTGTAGCTCACCTACAAAGTTTCAAGTTTCTTTGAAGGTTGGCTTGATTTTATTCATTCATTTATTTATTTATTTTGCAAAAGTATGTAAAAATGTGTTCTTTTCAATCAAGTGTCTTTTACAAAAATAGTTTTGATGAGGGATAGGTAAAGTCTGAACTATTTCAAACACTGGAGGAAGAAAATCAAAGAATGCTGCAGGCTACAAGTTCGTTCCTGTTGGAGTCTGGAGGTAGGTCCTTGCAAGTCAATTAGTCCATTTCTTTCAACAATTCATTTGAGGTACAGACTTGAAGAGTAATATTTGAACACTACAAACGTGTGTGTGTGTGTGTGTGTAATACAATGTAGTGTCACTGAAGAAAATTATCCTTAAGAACCTAGGAGCGACTTTGTTAAAGAAAAAAAAAAAAGATAAAACTGTTTCAAATTAACGTAGCAATCTAGCAGGGAAGCTGCGATAAGCATCTGTAAGATTATAATTAAAAAAAAAATCCTAGAAACATGCATAGTCACGCTGAGACGGAGTGAGGGCGCTTCTTTGACAGGGATGACAGAGAACAGAGCGGGAGGCGGTGGAGAGGCCTACGCACTAAGTGTTGCTTTTTCTCTCTTGCAGGGCTTGTGTCTAGCAGCGTGTAACAAGTGCAGGACTGTGAAGTCACTGTAGCATTCAGAGGTAGTATTGAGTAGTGGGGGTTCATTATTGCATCTCTGGCTAAAAGTGCAGCTCGAATGCAGAGATGGCAGGCCGAACCAAGACAATGCACCTCGGCCAGCCACCTTATGTCAAAACGAAATGCGTTACTTGAAGTAACGCACAGGCTTCATTTGAGGTAAGTGGTATTGCGGTCTTTCACGGAAACTGGTACACAAGGAAAACAGAGAACAGAGAGAGGCAAGGGAGAGAAGGGGGAGAGAAAAAAGAGGAGAGCGAGCGAGAGCTATTTTTTTTTTTTTTTTTTTTTGCTTTTTAAAAATATTTTCTTTTAACTATATAGCAAAAGAAACGCATATTTTGCTCCTCCCACCTCATCGCTTGGGTGAGTTAATCAGGTATTGTACCTTTTCATTAAGTTCCAAAAATAAAAAATAAAAAATAAAAAGGATAATTTTACTTGTCTAGTTATCTTGGATGCTTCGAGGCTGACAAGTGTCACTTATTGCTGAATGGCTTTCGG